CGGGCGCGGGCTAGGTACGGGGCCGGGCGCGAGCTAGGTACTGGGCCGGGCGCTGGGCTAGGGACGAGGCCGGGCGACGGGCTAGGTACGGGCCGGTCGCGGGCTAAGTACGGGCCGGGCGCGGGCTAGGAACGGGCCGGGCGCTGGGCGAAGGACGGGGCCAGGCGCGGGCTTGTTACGGGGCCGGGCGTTGGGCGCGGAACGGAGGCCGGGCGCGAGGCTAGGTACGGGCCGATCGCGGGCTAGGTACGGGGCCAGGTGCGGGCGTGGTACGGGCCGGGCGCGGGGCTAGGAACGGGGCCGAGCGCGGGCTAGGTACGGGCCGGTCGCGGGCTAAGTACGGGCCGGGCGCGGGGCGACAGAGTTGACGGGGCCAGCGGGGCCGAGGGGCACAGCTAGGGGCGACGGGGCCAAGGGGCCGAGCCTAGGGGCTAGGGGCGACGCCAAGGGGCGACCGGCCGGGGCCTAGGCTAGCAGGGCATTAGGTGGTGGGCCCATTAATGTGAGGTCCTAGGAACGACCTTCTCTGCTAGCATGTTAGAATCCTAGCGTGACTTAGGCTTAGGAGCCATGGCTAGGTTAGAGTGTCGAGAGGATTTTGGGTGAGGAAAGTCGAGAAGGAGAATATCGAGGAAAATTGAATGGAATGATTTCACTAGCAAGAGTTGGGATACAAATAGCAAACCCTAAATTGGGTTGTACTCACTACAGAGTACCCCACTGTAGGCTAGACAGCAAATACATTCTGACAGTGTTCGCCAAGGCCCTTGGGTCTGGTGATCATCAGCGTTTCTGCACTGCTCTTGGACTTGTGCCCACTCTGCCTCACCTGCCGGTTTCTTGACTTGCTCTTGTTGTACACTGATATATATCTTTATACATGCTTGTTTACTCTTGCTAGGTTGTGATCAGTGTACGTCCTTGCTATTATAACTCTGCATGTGAACTGGCCTTATGGCCGCTTGCTTGTGCTCAGATTGTGTGGTGTCCTTGAGCTCCAACCTGAGCTTTGCTTTGCTTTGTTCTCTTGCTTGACTGGTCTTGTGACCGACTGTTGTGTTTGCTATCTCCCACTTAGCCTATGGGGGTGTGTCAAACTATGTGTTTGTATTCTCTCTAGGCTATAGTGGGTTAGCCTACAAGGGGTACAACACTTTAGGGTTAGTACTTGTACCCAACTCATTCATAGTTCATTCATTCCTGCACAGTGATTCTGACATGAGATGCTGCGTGTTGTCGTGGGTCTTACTCGTGTCCTTTGAAATGTATTTGCCAAACCTAATTTTATCGGAGTTCACGTTTCGACGTCGTAATTGTACAGTACGTCTAACCCAGCAATGAAAATGAAACTAGTTTGCATTGCGTATTCTCATGTATGTTTTCCCATCGCTTCTTCTTCTCCTCCTCCTCGTCCTCCTCCTCCTCCTCCTCCTCCTCCTCCTCCTCCTCCTCCTCCTCCTCCTCCTCCTCCTCCTCCTCCTCCTCCTCCTCCTCCTCCTCCTCCTCCTCCTTGTGGTTGCTTCTGCTGCTCCTGCTGCTTCCATTTGCCTCGGCGCCTCGAATCACGCACACAGTTAAATCTCCAGGGGCTGCCATGTGTGCATTGCTGATTGGTTGCATGTCTGTGCGATGGCGTGGGGGTTTGTGGATGCAGGAGGGTATGGAGTGAGCGGCAGGGGGAAGGAGAGGGAGATGGGGTTTAATCTGGGGGAGAGGGGCGGTGGAGGGCCAAAGAGTGTTTGTGACACTCAACCACACCCCTGATGCACGCTCTCTTGCTGGTGTTGCAGCTGCTACTGGTGCTGAGGTGAGTTGTGACCTTTTCTTCTCCAGATGCAGTGCTGTGGTGAGCTCATAGTGTCTTGCTTGTTGCTGCACTTGATGTCGCTCTGACCTGGTTTCTTCTTCTCCTGCCGCTCTCTGACGCGGTCTCCTCCTCCCGTGCTGCTCTCCCCTCTCCTCCCACCTCCAGGTGTTGCCATCCCTGACTTGCGCCCCATGGTGATTGTCTCAAGCCAGGTTGACCGGCCAATGTGGGAGGCGCCGGCGCTGAAAGATTGGTCACACGGGTGGATGCTGGTTGATTATGGTGGGTGATGCATCGTGCTGTGCGAACAAGCACTGAATCATAAAGTGTTGAGTAATCAGATGCTGTATCACCCCACCCCAGCGTTCTATGTTATTGAAGTCCGTATTCGAGCCCATTCTTCTGCCGTTACTTCCCACATTCTGCCATCTCTCATACCCCTTACCGCACCACACCATCAGGTGTGCCTGTGTTTTCGCCCGAGTTCCTTTTGACAACAACAATGCGCCAACAACTGGACTGGGGTAGGTCAGTATGGGGACAGGTCAGCACTGAGAACATACAAGCATCAAGGCAGGTCGGCACTCCTGGCTCCTCTGTCCGCACATTCATATGGATGCATGAACTCAGCTTGCGTTTGCATGCCCTTTTACCTTCGTTGACTTCTTTCTAAATGTCTCCTCCAGTCAGGAGAACTACCGTATTAGTATCTTTAACTTTTTGTTGGCCTCTTGTACGTTCTTCTTCCTTCCTACCTATCCCTCTTGCGATTGATTTTTCAGGAACCATCGTCTGTAAGATCACCTTGTCAACAAATGGGAGGGAACCTGTATTATTCTGCAGAGTATAATGCTTCTTAATTGTCAAATGCTGCTTTTGTTGCTGAATTTTGAAGCTACCCAATTGGTGTATGAGCCTTTGTAATTCTTTTACCATTTTATCAATCTTGTGCTTAGTTGGTGGTGGGTCAATGTAACGCGAGTTTCTCCCACAATCACGTCAAGTCAAGCATCTTGAAAGTCGTGACAGCTGTCTTGACGGTCTGCTGACGCGACAGAGCCTCGCGGCCGCGCAATGTGTGGAGTGGATCGCGCCCTCTCACCAATGAAGGGTCTGTCTGCGATTTCCCTCATCTCATGTGGAGCCCCTTTTCCTTCCACCACGGCAGCGTCTTGACTCTTGACTTGACATTTCACCGACAGGTAAATCCTCGCGCGCGTGCACAACGCGTGGATAAGGAATTGCTGCCAAGTCTGGCAGTAGTGGACAAATTTCGCGGTTGTCTTTCTCTGGTGTAACATTTTTGTGTTGTGCTCTTCGCGCAAGAACTCTCTATCATCCAAGAGCCGAATCAATGGCTGGTAAACCTAGACATTTAGAGCGTGTTACGTACCCCTTATTCTAGTGGAAGGCAACCGCGGAATGAACCACCCACCTGTTTTCTGAACCAAACCATGAGAATAGTGATTAGGGCAGACCAAACAGTCAATTCGGCAATGCGCTGCACCCAACTTCTGATGTTTGTTTTCATACACCAGTCGCGTCGTCTCCCGCCAATGTGTATCCTGCCCGCAATGTTCACTGTACCACTGGTTGCGGTGCAGGTTGGAACGTTCGTGGCTGGTCGCCTCGACAGGTTGTAAAAGGGCAAGACCATATGGTTGGATAGACCACCTGGTCGCCTCGACGAGGTGTGAGATTGCTCTGGTACACACGTCCACTGCTGTACACTGTAGAGACTAGGGTATCGGGTAACCCTAGTGGTCTACCCAACCCGACCGTTCGAGGCACCCGACCAGCCCTCAAAAAGAGGGGTACGTAACACGCTCTTACACAAAACGAAGGCCGCCGAATGCAACTCACGATGGAGTCCTCTGAAATCACATTCCCACCTACCCCCCAATCACCGCATAATTCATATACAGCTGTGACAGACTGTACTCACTTGTGTCTTGATATTGCTCTGCCCTCGAGCTCTGCATAGCCATCCACACCAGCAGCCCTTCCAAGGGGCGTCGGCGGGATTTTGCACGCGCTTTTCTGTTCTCACATTTCGTCATTCAACTTACAGTAATGGCGTGGGCCGCCGAAAACAATGTGATTCCGCTGAAGGAAGCCTACTTCCAGGATATGGTTCTGGATGCTCCGGGTCTAGTCGTGGTGGGCTTTTTGAAGAAGAATTGCGAGGAATCCTTCAATCTTTCTAGGAGAATCGGCTGCGTTGCGAGCGACGAGCTTAAATGCTTCGTGGTGGACGTCGAGGAGGAGCCCAACTTGGCCCCCAAGTATGGTGTACATGCCACACCTTCGATTGTGTTCTTCAAGTTTGGGAGTGCTATCCATACCTCCGCTGGTGCAGCGTCCGAGCATCAGCTTCAGGATTGGGCTCGGGAGTACCAAATGAACTACTAAGCTCACAAAAGACCTTTGAGACGTCTCAAAAAACGTCCAAACGTCAGCTTCCGGATTGGGCTCGGGAGTACGTCATGCTGTACTAAGCTCAGTCGTGCGTGTCGTCGGTATTCGTGAATGCCTTCTGTGAAACGTATTTCGGAAGTCTAGTGCGATTCAAGTTACGAAGCCATGCTTGAACATAGAATAACCAGAAATACCCGCGTAAATGGCCCTTGAAACACCTCTGTAACATACACGGCAGTATTAACACAACTGACCTTCAAAGGTTGTGTATATGAATTTCCACTACTCCTATCAGATATATTGCCTAAGACTGGGGCGTCTGTGAATCCCCAAGTTACGCGGTGCGGCTTGATCGTCCTAATGCCTCTCTTGACATCTTCCAGACGGGGCAGAGGGTCACACGTGCGCAGGGCGTGGATTACTGCAGTAATCCGCGTGTCCGCGTGGCAGATGTTGACCAGTTTCCAGTTCCTAGCCGCGTGAATCGTGACGCGGGGGTGAATATTGGTGTGAAAGCAGAATTTTGTAAGGAGATCACTTAGTCGTACAGTGATAGGCCATCTAGCAGAGGGGGAGGGGGGCACTAATCGGTCTAAAATAGGTCCTTGATAGACGTTACCCTGCTGGATTCACCCTGAAATGGAAGAGTGGCTGAAAACGGATGGGTTGGTGGGTCGTCGCTGGGTTGCTGTCAAGATGGGTCGGATTGGAGGAATCGCCTTGGAAACGATAAGGCTGGGCTCGTCTGTGCATGGTCATCGGATCCATCACAACATTACAGCGTGTCAATCTGGATTGGAGAGAGCACAGTGGGGCTGAACAATGTAGGGGCACGAAGATACACGAGTAAGCAAACATGGGCGGACGAGTGGTGCAAGGTATGGGCAGGCGAGTGGGGCAAGGCATGGGCAGGCGAGTGGAGCATGGGCAGGCGAGTGGAGCATGGGCAGGCGAGTGGGGCATGGGCAGGCGAGTGGGGCATGGGCAGGCGAGTGGGGCATGGGCAGGCGAGTGGGGCATGGGCAGGCGAGTGGGGCACGGGCAGGCGAGTGGGGCATGGGCAGGCGAGTGGGGCATGGGCAGGCGAGTGGGGCATGGGCAGGCGAGTGGGGCAAGGGCAGGCGAGTGGGGCATGGGCAGGCGAGTGGGGCATGGGCAGGCGAGTGGGGCATGGGCAGGCGAGTGGGGCATGGGCAGGCGAGTGGGGCATGGGCAGGCGAGTGGGGCAAGGAATTGCAGGCATGGGAGGGCGTGGGCTGGCATGGTCGGGTGGGGTGGGAATGGGCAGGCGAGCGGGGCAAGGCCTGGGATGGGAGGGCAAGGCGTGTGACGGGGCTGACCTGCCCACTGTGATCGGGGCCCAGATTGGAATCGGTGAAGCCGCCTCGGAACACACCCCTGCTCGCCTTGCCATCCCACGGAGTCTGGCAACACAGGGGTGCCTCACACCCCTCGCCTTGACTGCTTGCCTCACACTCTCGCCTTGGCGACGTTGCCTTTCTGGTGGCTCTCAGAATACATGCCCGTCCATCATGCTATGCGCACGTGCCCCGCACACGCCATGAGCTGCCAAGCAGCGAGGGAGTCAGAGAGAAGGTGGAAAGAGGGAGGTGAAGGGCTGTTCAGGCGACCCTGTCTGTCCACTGTGCGCGCATGTCCTGAACAAGAGATGAGTTACCCAGCAGCGGGGGAGTCAGAGGGCAGGTGGAAAGAGGGAGGCGAAGGGATACCTGCCTGTCCATTGTGCGCGCGTGTCCTGAGCTGACTGCGGCGTGACAAGAGGGTCAAGGGTGGGGAGGGGGTTCAAGGGTTCGGAGGGAGAGAAGGCTTAGGGAAAAGACTGGTGAGACCCGTTGACATGCGTGGCGAAAGAAAGCATGCTCATGTGCCGCAAGCATGCTCATGTGCCGCAAGCATGCTCATGTGCCGCAAGGATGCTCATGTGCCGCAAGCATGCTCATGTGCCGCAAGCATGCTCATGTGCCGCAAGCATGAGCATGACATGTAAGAAACTGGGCGGCGAGGGAATCAAGAGGGAATGCGAGAGAAAAGCCCGAGGGAAGGAAGAGGGCTTTGAGAATGCCAAGCAGAGGGGGGTCAGGGAGGAGTAGAGCCCGGGGGGGGGAGAGGGGGGGGGGGGGGGGGGAAGGGGTTGAGATCGGTCTTAGAGGGAAAAATCCTGATAGGGAAGCAGAACGGGTTGGGGAATGAACGAGTCCACTGGGCAGGGAATGAGGAGAGTGCCAGAGGGGTTGGGGAGTGTCAAGGGAAGGGACAGAGCTCACCCTGGGTTCACACGCCACGTGTTTCAGCATGGCGTGTGAGATATTGCCACGTGGCACCTCCCCCTCCGCTCCGCCACCCCCCTTCTTCCTGCTTCTCCCCCACAGAGGCGAGCGCACGCAGGAAGCTGGGACCGTTGGAGGCCGCGGACCACGCGGCGGCGCTCTCTCGCTGCAGGCGACTGCCGGGACTCTCGTCCATCTGCGCACATCGACCCCGCATGAGCCGTCACAAGCCACTGCACGTCACGCGAGATCGCAATAACATTCTCATTGCAACGTGATGCACATCGGAATCTCGTGTTAGAAGGCAAGGCCGAACGGAAAGACGAATGAAGCCGTACTAGTGAGGCGGTGGATACGGAGAGCCGCCTCGTCACTAAATATCTGGCAGAAAATCCAACCTCGTGCAATCATGTCAACGGAAACTTTAGGGTTTCATGTCGCCAGAAAATCCAACCTCCAGCAAAAACCGAGCCGCATGGTCATTTTTTGTGTCCGCGACGCGCGCGTGAACATTGAACCAACGCTACACCCACTAGCCCACCAACACTACAAAGCCCCCAGCAATCCGAGTTGTGTGGTGTGCTGGGTGGTTGTGAAAGTTTGGAATCGAGCCGCCATGGGGTGAGCGAAACTGGCGAGAGTGTGTGACTGGGGTTACGATAGTACAGTGGCTCTAGCGAGGCCACAGTACTTCGGTAGTTTCTGAAGTAGGGAAAAGTGACATTTTTGGCTTCAGACAGTCTGAAGTTCCGATTTTTTTGAAACGGACAATCCAATACCCGCTATTGGGACCGTCCGTTTCGATACGAGTGGACTGTCCGTGAAAACAAAAATATAAAAATAAAAAGAGACACGCCCTTACGATGTGCTACATCGCGAAAAAGGAAAGTTGCGAAATTTGGCCTCCGAAGGTTTTTCTTTGTTAAAATTGCGTACAAGTTGTGCAAATTATCCAAAAAACAACGCACGAAAATCGCAACATTCTGTACACCAGCGGTGAATGCGGAAACATGTGGAAAATTGTCACCGCAAAGTTGTTTTTCCGTCCAAAATTTTCGCGTCACTCGGTTAACCGCGTTCGAGAGAGTTTGGAAGCGGTTTGGCAGGGTAACATTGACAATGACCAGGGTAACATCAAATTTTACGAAACACAAGGACCTCACGAAATCCACCGAGGTTGCAAAATTGGATACATCGGTTTCGTTTATTCCCAACTCCGAACCCAACCGCCCAATATATTGCACTTGGTAGCGTCGGTAGCGCTCGGTAGCGCTACCATTTCGCTAGACGACGCTACCGAGTGAGTCAGCATGCTGACCGCGGGCAGAAAAAAACTAAAACCCATTCGGACTCCATGCCATTCGGGAGCCTCAACTCTCAACACCATAAGCTGTCATAATCGTAGGCTAAAGTGATGTCGACTATCGAGGGGGTTGGTACAAAGAAAAATGAACCTAAGGGGTTGTACCCCACAGTGTGTACCCCACTAAGCCTACCCAAACTATAACATAGATATACATATGTTTGACACACCCCCATAGGCAGAGTGGGGGAGAACAGAGGGTCACAAGACCAGTCAGGAAGTGCAAAGCAAGCTCAGGGTGGATCACAACGTCACCACGCAGTCTGAGCACAAGCAAGAAGGCCACAAGGCCAGTTCACATGCAGAGATATATATGTAACAACAACAGTACAGTGAAATCTACCTACAAGAACAAGCATGCATGAATACATATAAATCATGGTACAAACAAAGCCTACAGCAAGTGAGGAAGCGTGGGCACAAGGCCTAACAAAGTGCAGAAACGCTGATGATCACCAGGCGGAAGTGCCTTGGTGAATATATCAGCAGTGTTGGCCCGAGTGGCCACGTAGGTAAGACGAAGCTGGCCACGCTGTTGCAGCTCTCGAGCAAGAAAGTAACGGAGAGCGATGTGCTTCGTTCTGTGCTCCAGTCTGTGTTCCTGACACAAGGCAATGGCGGCCTTGTTGTCGACGTACAGCACTGGAGGAGAACGAGGCCGCTCTCCCAAGTCAGTCAGCAGGTAGGTGAGCCAGCGAAGCTCCTGTGCAGCCATGGCTGTGGCGTAGATCTCAGCCTCACAACTGGAGCCGAGAACTGAAGACGAGCGTGTAGAACGCCAAGAAACTGAACCAGAGCCAAGGCTGAAGGTGTAACCCTGTGACGACCGCTGCGTAGCCTGGTCGTCAACCCAAGAGGCGTCCGAGTGACCAGTGAGGACAACGTCACCCCGTCCTCCAAGCACGAGCCCCATGCCCGATGTACTGCACAAGTAGCGTAGTACCCTCTTGGCAGCATCCATGTGCACCTTTTGATGCCGACCAGGAGCCACGTAGCGAGCCAGAAGGCCAAGAGGGTACGCAAGGTCAGGATGAGTGCAAGTCATCAGGTACATGAGGCAGCCTACTAACTCTGGGTAAGGACCACTCGGCTCTACGGACTCGTCCGAAGGTGGAGCTGAGAGCGAGTGACCTGTAGCCAGAGGAGTGGCCTGTGCTGAGGACCAGGTGAAACCGAAGCGCTGAAGGACCTGCTGCACCATGTGTGACTGAGTCAGTGTGATGGTGCGGTGTGCTCTGTCCCGGGTGATCTGCAAGCCAAGGTAGCTGCGTAGTTCACCCAGGTCTGTGCACGTGTGTCTCTTCTGCAGCTCCAGGGCGAGAGGCTCAGTGTCAGCAGTGGCAAAGACCAAGTCGTCGACGTACACGAGAACGTAGAACGGCGGCAGCGAAGTGTCGGTGCGCAAAAACAGCGACGGGTCAGCAGTCGACGGAGCAAACCCAAGAGCCGCAAGTGTCGTCCTCAGTGTGTCGTGCCACTCACGTGGCGCCTGGCGGAGACCGTAGACCGGCCGCCGGAGGCTCCACTGGGTACCAGGAGGGAACGACCCAGTGAAGCCAGGAGGGCGGCGCAGCCAAATCTCCTCGTGCAGGCTGCCCTGTAAGAAGGCTGTGCTGAAGTCAAGAGAGTGAAGCTCGTAGTCATGCTGAGCGGCAACGTGCAGCAGCACCCGAAGAGTGGTCATCTTCGGGGTGGGGGAGAAGGTCTGGAAGAAGTCAACTCCCTCTCGCTGACTGAAGCCTCAAGCCACGTAACGAGCCTTGAAGACAGGCGGAGAACCTGGCGGCCGCTTCACCCTGAAAATCCACATGCCACTGACAATGTTCGCCCCAGGAGGGGGAACCTCGTCGACGTAGGTGCCTGTGGACTTCCAGGATGCCATCTCTGCGTCCATGGCTGTCTGCCACTGAGAGGAGTACTCACCCACGATCGCCTCAGCGTAAGAGCGCGGGGTAGGGATGTCTGGTGCATCCGGGTCTCCCTCAGGGGCAAGCAGCATGGATACGAGATGAGGCGCAGCGGCTGCAAGACACTCAAGGTCCTCCTGCCTGTCCTTAAGGACGTCCGTGCCAAGAGCACACTCGCCCCCGACGGACGGAGGACAGACAGACGCAAACTCAGCAACAAGATCGGCGGCGTAGTCTAGACGACAGTGAGCAGCAAAGGCAACAAGCTCAGTGACTAAGGCAGACGCAGCAGCAGACTCAAACGACGGGTCAGTGACAACAGTGGCAAGCAGACGCGTGACAGTAGAGTGCTCAGCACGAAACCAGTCAGACGCAGGGTCAGCAACGACAGGCAGAGAGGACGCAGGGGGAGGCGGCAGAGGAACACGCGGTGAAGGAGAGGAAGGACGACGAACTACAAGGGGAGGGCCGGAGACAGCCGGCTGGCTCTGACGAGGAACACGACGACCGGAACTGACAGGGGAGACAGGACGCGACACAGGCTCACGACGCTCTGCAAGGCCACCAGGCTGCTCTGTGTATGGAGAAGGAGCAGGCAGCGGGGAGCCAGGCTGTAACGGAAGACCAGTAGACGAGGGAAGACTGAGAACCTGGCGAAGTGCAGAGTCAGGTGGTGGCTGAGACGACAGAGACGGCGGAGCAAAGAACAGGCGCGGCTGAGCAGTGCCACCAGCACGAGCAGCACCAGCCCCACCAGCAGCTCCAGCACCTCCAGCAGCTCCAGCACCCCCAGCAGCTCCAGCACCTCCAGTAGCTCCAGCACCCCCAGCAGCTCCAGCACCTCCAGCAGCTCCAGCACCTCCAGCAGCTCCATCACCTCCAGCACCTCCAGCAGCTCCAGTACCCTTAGCAGCTCCAGCACCGCCAGTAGCTCCAGTACCTCCAGCAGCACCACCACCAGCCCCAGCAGCTCCAGTACTCCCTGTACGAGCACCTCCGGGACCAGCGACACCAGCAGAAGAAACTCCAGCAGGAGAGCCCTGAGGTGCAGAAGTGGGACGCCGACGGCGACCGTACCAGACGTGCAGCTGCTGGGGGGTGAGGGGCACACGCGGACGAAGACGGCTACTCCAAGGAGACCGCGTAACAGCAGTCTCAGAGCCCTCAGGCAACTCACCCCCAGACTCAGCACCCCCAGGCTCCGCACACACAGGCTCAGCACCCCCAGATGCAGCACCTCCAGACGCAGTACCCCGAGACGCAGCACCTCCAGGCTCCTCACGCGCAGGCTCAGCGCCTCCAGGCTCCACACGCTCAGCGCCCCCAGACTCAGCACCCCCAAGCTCCGCACCCCCAGGGACAGCACCACTCGCAGCAGGACCGGAGTCACCAGTGACCTCAACAGGCGCAGGCGCAGGGGGGTCTACCTGAGAGACACCTGAAGGAGCAGGACCTGGCGCGGGGAGGGGGTCTACCTGGGGAGGACCTGGGGCGAGAAAGAGCGGCGGGGGGGGGCGAGGAGCAGTGCGGTAGGGGAAGAGGCGGTAAAAGGGGACAGACTCGTCAAAGGTGACGTCCTGAGACGCAAAGACACGGCGCGAGGCGGGGTCGTAAAACTGCCAGCCAGGCGCGTCAGGGACAAAGCCAAGGAAGACGCAAGGAATGGCGCGAGGGGAGAGCTTGTCCGCGGTGGTATCACGGACAAAGGCACGAGCACCCCAGACCCGGAAACGCGACGCGTCGCCAACCTTCCCCGTCCACAGCAGTGTGGGCGAGGTCTCCGGCAAGGAGACACGGGGCCAAAGGTTTAGCTGATGCGCGGCGTACCGGACCGCAAACGGCCACAGAAAATGGGGGGCAGCCGCATGGATCATGGAGGTACGAGCGACCTCCATGACTAAGCCAATGCGGCGCTCAGCAACCCCATTCTGCTGCGGAGAGGCCAGA